AATAAACAAAATAATGTAATACTTATTGAAACAAAAACTAATTATTCTTCCACAATAAACTTTAAATATACTCTAAATAATTCAAACTAATAAACCATACAAATGGCGCCAAATTTGAACACAAACTGAATATTCGCATCCGCATTCGCATTCGCGAATGTCGATATCAGATATTCGCATTCGCATTCGCATTCGCGAATGTTCAAAAACACACATTCGTTACATCACTACTATCTATAACATAACTATACAAATACTATATTCTACTAATGTTAACGACCAGATTGGCGATATAATAAAGGTCCAAATTAAAAATACCCCAACGAGCATGCATGAAAAGACTGATGACTGATGAGGAAGCGAAAGATGTATGTACGAATCGTAGCCATTGGCGTTCCATAGTCTCTGCTTACTCCCATGGGAGACATGCTTAAGCTTATGTACCTATGTTATTTTGAACCCGAAATTTTGTGAGGATGCATGTTTGTCAGTCTTTCACGCAGAAACTATTGAACAGTTTAACGTCCGAACACGCTGCTCATGAGAAAGAGTCCCACAGTAATATCAAGATATTAGAGGTTATCTCAATATTTACATGAGTAAACCGGTTTTAATGAAACCTAATAAATCATAGACTTCAGTTACTCATGAATGATATGAAACAGAAAACGACAAGACATACTTTATTCTTTAAAATGTTTTCATAGATTGACGCATAATGTCACTTGACGATACAATAATTGAAATCAATCAACGCAATAGGTTACACAGTGTGCTGAATAAATACATGTAAATAAATACATATACCTACATAACGACAGTTTTAATTCCCAAGTTATAAACACTAAGAACAAGGATTAATACTATTGGCAAAGTTAAGTCAAGGATACACTAGGGGGCAAATATGTCGCGGAGAACCTAACGGGTTACCGGGGCTCCGGCTCGACGTCAGGAGAAGGAACGGGGTGGTTTTTAGTCAGTAAGAGTCTAACACTCCCTCCTGCCTCACGCAAGCGGGAGCAGCATTCGATGATTTTCCCCCTTAAAAAGGGGGGCAAATGTCATGCGACATGTGTCACCAGCGACGTCGGGTGAAGTAGCGCAACGTTGCCGGACTTTGGTCGACATGTATAGCAACATCAACGTCACTGTGGACATAAGGCGCGCGTTGTCGCCTTATAATATGTCGGGCGAAATCGGCCGGCATCGCTTGACATTTCGTCGAAACATGTCGTGGGACATATTTTGTCCCCTAGTATATCCTTCACTTTAATCTCATATAAATCCGAGAATATGTTACCATTTCTAAAATCTTTTAAGTTAGTATGTAGACCTTGTGAATCGATTATCGCACATCAATGCGATCAGGATTTGTTTTTGCCAGATTTGGTTAAACACAATATTGACTTAACCTATCGTGTGTCTAAGAAGTGGATCCACGCGAGACACATAAACCATAATACCTATTACACCTACTGTTGCACATCTCTGCATCACCCCATGGTTGACTGTTAGAGAATGCCACCTGGCATTAAGTCCGCCATCGTATGATTATTATACAGAAGTGTAAATAAAAATAAATATACAATTTATTTTCTATTGTGTCTCATATCGGTGCATTCAAAATCAAAAGGTTAAATTATTAAACGATATTATTCTCCAATCTGTTTGGATCGATTTTTTTTTCTTCTTTGGCAACCGAGTCTCCAGTGGATCGATTTAAGTTTTTGATAGAAACTACACACACAAATAATGTCAAAAATCGATCCTAGATGGAGTAATTTATTAAATTTCGGATGCCAAAAATCGATCCTACTTAATCTAAAAATTTTGGATATAATAATTTTTTTCAGCCGCCAATGTAGACGATGCAGGTGAAAACTTCCTTCCTTTATGAAATTAATGTTGCTACAGATTCGTTTCAGTCTTTTTTTTTTAAGGGGGGAAAATCATCGAATGACTGCTCCCGCCTGGGTGAGGCAGAAGGGAGTGTCAGACTCTTACTGACTAAAAACCACCCCGTTCCTTCTCCTGCACGTCGAGCCGGAGCCCCGGTTACCCGTTAGGTTCTCCGCGACATTCGTTTCAGTCTAGGTTTTACTTTGCATCTGTAGGAAAATCATTGAAAATTTTAGTTTTATTCATATTTACTTATCTATTAATTATTATCCCTTTATAAATTAGGGATTGATCGAAATGATGATATTCAATAAGTTTATTGAAAAATCCTTCGTACTCAATTCCTTCTTTTCTTTTTAGAAACCATCAAAACGTAAATCTGTAAACCCTTAAAGTTATTTTCGGCATTTAAATAATATTTTTATCGACTTTCATTATTGTAACATTTTCCGGTAGCGATTTAATCTCATTTACCTAATAGTGATAATATAATTAGACCACATCTATGCAAATTATGTATTTATGATAAGTAAAATTTATTAATATTCATTTTAAAAATGGCCGATATAATTTCGTCAGCTAATAAATCCATACCCACCTACGATAGCAAAATGGGTATACTTACACGAATTGCTCGAAGACGCACCGCTTCACCATTTGTTTGTAAACCTGGTCACTTTGTCCCTTATCACAACAAGAATTATTCAACACATTAACTTGGACTATGCATACCACGTTACTTAATTATATAAAAACAACACAGCGACCTTCTGATGTCATTGAACACTAATCGTTCTTAAACTATAATGATATATTTTTTTGGAAGTTGGCACAAACCCTTGTCTTTAAAAAGAATTAGTTCTTTCGGTTCTAATTTTAAATGTTGCGTTGTCTATGACACGAATTTAAAACTGTCATATATTTAGATGGCATTGAATATATAAGGTTTTATAATTTATGACGCTACGAAAGGAACTCGCAAAATCAATTTACTAATTATATTTTAATTGTAGTCATTTGGTGATTTCTGGTTTGGCTTCGGACATGGACAATATTTGATTAATTTATAACAAATCAATATGATTCTCTTTTCTCTTTATTATTCAGTAATACATAAATTTAATACTTTACACCTTTTTTTGAGGGGGAAAAATCATCCAATGGCTTCTCCCGCCCGGGTGAGGCAAGAGCGAGAAGTATAAGACTTTTAATGATAAAACCCACCCCGTTCCTACTCCAAAATTTCAAGCCGGAGCCCCGGCAACCCGTTAAGTCCGCGGCTCTGTATCGGAAATACTTTATAATTACATTTTAGATTACAAACAAGAAACAAGGATCTTGTCATTAATTAATAGGTCTAACTTAATGTATGGAATGAGTGATGTCCAGTTGTTTATAACTGTTATAATGGTAAAATTATGTGACAATGCTATTTTGAATAAATTTTTGATAGGGTTATCTTTGAACAACAATGTTGTATTTGGTCAATCGTAGAAGTACGGCTACATAACTTAACACACTTAGGTAAACTGTTCGAGTTGATCTATAGACGGATGGTTGATACCATATTAGTCTGCAGAACTTAGTCCTCGCTTTCTTTTCTTCCTCCTCTTAACTAGAGATTTCTTACGGAAAAATCTTAGTATGCTGAACTTGTATATAAAATGTAAAAAGTAATGCCTGCTAATAAAAATGTTATGTCCAGAAGTTGCGAAAATTGTACCTGTAAGTACATTTCAGACCATTACACTCTTTTATCATAACGTAAAATTTAGGTATTGCTTTACGGTTTTTTGTAAAATTTCTTAGTAATAGCAGAGATTTTCCCCCTATTAGGTACACGGGACTTAAAACATAACTGATGAAGATTCTGATGAAGTGAGGTCTTGCATTTTATGCGTGCACATCTATCCTTTCAGAAATTGAAAAGCGAGTCATGGTATTTTAAATTACAAGTCCTTCATAAGTTAGCTTTATTATGTATATGTATGCCTGGCAACTATCAAAATACCACAATAGTATTATACTTACCATAATTTATTTATATTCCTTTCAGCTTTGATTCATTCATCCTGGCTTCTGAATAACCGGTTTTTCCCTGCTATTAAGCGCTATTCAAGTGAGATATTCAATAGTGGCTATAAATATATAAGAATATGACTGAAATACGATCGAAACAGATGAATGAGGAGGTTAAAAACAGGGCCATATCCACTTCAATCGTGATAACTGTGGTTAGGATTTCGAAATAGTAAAAAACCGATATATTCTAGTACTGGGACTTTATAAAGTTTCTATAAAACATATCCCTTTTTTTTTTTTTTTAAGGGGGGAAAATCATCGAATGACTGCCCCCGCCTGGGTGAGGCGGGAGGGAGTGTCAGACTCTTACTGACTAAAAACCACCCCGTTCCTTCTCCTGCACGTCGAGCCGGAGCCCCGGTTACCCGTTAGGTTCTCCGCGACTCCGAATCGGCATCGGCCCTATTGGGCCCCATCTGTGGTGGTCTGATGGCTCTTTGAGGCGCGCGCGGAACGCGACGCGCCGTACGCTCGGGTCTGTTTCTGGTCGGACGGGGAGCCACCCATGCTCGCCGTCCGCAGGCCCGCGCTTATATCCCTATCCCTAATAAATCCTAATAAAACATCCAAATAAAATATCCTAATAAAACATATCCCTAAGCGGTCACCAGTGACCGCTCTCCACTAACTACATTAGATACCTTATTTCCGATGTTTAGAGGCTACTTTTGTATGAACAAATTTAGGGGATGATATTCAACAGGTTAAGGTGCGTGAAGCTCTTATGACTAGAACATTTGAATGCTAACATGCTATATTCATCAACTAAAAATCATTCCAAAAAGCTAGCCCGCGGCTTTGCCTGTGTATTCCTATTTTATCCTATGGGAGGATTTAAACGGGATAAAAGTCCTATCACCTAAGTCAGCTTATACCCTGCCTGTATACCAAATTTCATCAAAATCCGTTCAGTAATTTCAGCGTGATTGACGAATAAACATGCAAACATTCAAACAAAAGAAGCTTTCACCTTTATAATATTAGTGTGATTTGGGTAAATACAAAATGAAACTAAAAAAAAACACTTTAATCATTTATTTTTACTCCAAATAATAGTTCCGTGTCAACATCAACAATACAATAGTATTACCAATGACTACTGACGAGTCAAAAGTCATTGAACTCAATACTATGTACAAATTGACACATGGAATAGTGAATCCTGATTATCTCTTTCCATAATTCGGTAACATACACAACCACTTGTGTTTTGTACCCTACACAAATAAATACAATCATATCGTCCAGAAAGGGTTTAAAACTTGGCTAAGAAATATACATTGTACTTACAGTGCCGGCCAAAAGTATTAGTACACATATGTGATTAAATCTAGAGACAACAGTTTAATAAATTATATTGTTTTGTTACAAGTACAGAAAGTGTTTGATTGTGGAGCGTAGAAAATAAATGCGCGACTTTTTAACAAAAGATATATAATGAAATTGGAATCGAAGAACTTGTAAATACTTCAACAGCGAGAAGAGATGTGTCTACTACTTTTGGCCAAGACTGTATTCTTCAATGTCTCCTGTGAGCTGCATAAATCTTATAGGAATCTTCTCATTAAAACATCTCTTTGTAATTATAGTACTTACTGCGGTCATACCTCCGCCAAAAATGTGATTCAAGAAATATAATCAGATTGTCCTTGAAATTGAATAATTAACTCTTTGTTGTAAATACTAATGGCCGCAATTAATGACCTATCTCAATTAAAATCTGTGGACAACGATCGGTTTTTGTCATTAGTAGTACACTAAAATCTTTTAAAATCCACATATTTTGGATTTAAATAGGTCATTTTACCCTTAAAACGTTCCTCATATAACCTGTAGTATAAAAGTGGCAAATCGGCCACTATTTACAGATCTATCTCACGATTTAACCTTACACATTATAAAAATATCTAGAAAATCTTTGTAGAGCGTTAATCAGTTCTTTCTAGAAGCTGCCTGAAGAGCCTCCAGTCTTCCATGATGTCGGCGTCAGGCAGCATGTAGACCACGTAGGGAGGGGACACAGTCACCTGTCTCCTACGCCTCTTTCGTCCCCACTCAGGCCCACAAGACCAGAGGTCCACCGTGTGACGCTCCTCCTCAAGTTTCTTAATTTTCTCTAAGATTTCTTCCCTTAAGTTTTCGTACGCCAGCCATTTTTCACTCTGTGGACAAAAGAAAAACAATATATGAATAAACTTGCTATTAACTCGCTTGCGACCTTGGTTGGTCGAGGCAAGGACGTAATCCATTAGATGTTTAGCGTTAGATTTTCATATAATAAAATGTAGTGTGTTACAGAATGGTCTGCACTTAAATCTACACATTATAAGATTTGTAATAACTTTTTAGTATACAGTGCCTATTTCGAAAAACTGAAAGATAATATTTTAGAAGTCAAATCGTTTCAATTAGACCAATCAGGCAGTTTAGAAAGTGCAAGTTAAAAAATATATTAAGATACAATGTGAAATACAACATACAGTATTATTATTATTAAAGTATTCATCAGCATTCAATAATGTTGGAACAGTTTACAACATTATTGCAACGTATCTACATAAACTTCAGGTTCATAACAACATGATCGTAATAATGTCATCTTTAAACTTTAAACAACTGTATATAGTATCAAGAAAACAAAGAGTACGAAGTGGTTTCAACGTTTTCCAATTCACAGATCAATTAATAAAACTTGAATTATACATAATTCATTCATCATTCAAGCTAAGTCAAGTATCTTGGTGTGGGCTGAGCGTCGCACGCGCAGGGCAATTTTCGACGAAACCGGTTTCCCTCGGTCGCCATGATGAATTTACCTGACACTTTATTGAAAAAAACTCCGAGCTGTCTGACGGGCCAGTTATTTTTGAGTTTTATTGCAAAAGTCATTCATTGAAGGCTCATTGTTAGTCTATAAATTGTTGAAGGGTTATTTGTTCGACGTATGCTTAGATTTTAGAGTTTTGGTCAATGATACTAACTACACTTTGTGTATAATTATCTTGTATATAATTTAAGTTATTAGGTAATACTAGTAACTAGAAAATGGTTACTAACCATGTTTATTATTTAACAGGAAGTACTAATGGGTTTTTAAAAAATCTCAGTGGTAGCACAGAGTCTGGAATTGTGCCCGGTATATGGCAACCCCCTATTATATGGGACTTATAACATAAATAGTGAAAAGTGGGTGTTACACTGTACAGTGGCATTAAGTGCCGTAATGTGCACCTTTGCCTACCCCTTTGCTGATATTATGTTATTTAATATTTTATACATACTCGTAGAGTAAGTGATGTAAGTACAAGCCGACTCTTACAGTGTAATGACACCAAAAAAGGCCTCTACAGTTACATTTGTGCTTATTTACACATAAATACTATTTTGATTGCATTGAAAACTTGACGAGTGTAAACTTTTATTGAATGTTCCAATGTGTTATTGTAATTCAGTAATCTGTGGCGTGAAACCAATTATGGTTCAAAATAGACAATAAAAAATTAACTAGCAATGGATTCCAGATGTAATATTGTCGTATTTGTAAATACCTATATCTACAATGTAGTATGTATGTTGGAACAGTTGAATATTTAGTATATTCCACCTAAAATGAGCAGTATCATGTATTTGTTCACAAATAAACATTTTAATTAAACACGTGTACCTCTATACAATGTTGTGCACTGGCCTTTATTTACCTAAATGCACTTTCAATAGAATACTGTGCATTTGCTGTTGAATAAACGAATTTCAGTTTTATGTTTACGCAAAATTTAGCATACGTAGTACATTTGTAACACTAGCTTTGCGATCTAGTCTGATTTCTATGTTAGAATAGATAGTTAATAATGCTAATCAGAATACGATTGCTAAATGCGAGTAGCATGTCATTAAAGAAACAAATACAGAAACGGTACAGTCCATATCAGGATATAGGATAAATTACATAATAAATATGGATGGGTGTAACTTAAGAGCAATAAGGATAACATATAGTTCCTACATCCGTGATCAAATATATGTGACTCGGTAATAATATTCAGTAGACCTAATTCAGTCCAGACAAGACGTCTAACAAAGTTCCAAGCAAAATATAATTATTATGTACTACCTAATGTCTAAAACGTCCACCCCACACTTAAAATACGTTGTACATATCCTAAAAAACTCGACAATGGTGTGCTGTGGGCTCGAGTCGAGGCAGGCTCAGGTAGACGCGATCAATGGCCCGCTAATAATAATATATCCGCACATCTGCCAGCGAAGGACGGTACTATAGGAGAACACGATCACAACGTCCTGTACACAATAATTGAGCTGATGTATTTATTATTTGTTTTGTAACTGCAGGGGATGTATCTAGCTTATAAATCGTAGTTCATGTTAGCGATATGTACTAAAGGTTAACTAGTTTTAAAGTTAGGTTCGATTTTGAGTCGTAATCCAATTGTTATAGGTTCTTTTTTCAGTAAATAGTTGCGTTTCAGTCTATATTCTCGTATTTATGTAATTGAGTAATTTATCGATTTGCGGAATTTATAATATGATTACTAATTTATTATGAACTATCAGTATGTTTGTGTCATACATAGGATTAGTTAATTAGAACAAAGAGAATTGCTATGTATAGATAGCAAGTACTAGACTTGAACATTTTAGAAGTAAACATTATTAAATCTCTATTAAGTCTAATATATTTTATGTAGAACTCTGGACCCTACCTATGTAGAAAATGTTACACTGCGTCATAAGCTTCTGTTTCATGTCAACGTTTCTCATTTCGAAACAAAGAAAAATATTTTGTACTCCATCGTGTATCTGCATATGGATGCAAGTCAACATTAAATATATGAATAACACATAATCAAAGGTTATTAGTCACTTCTTCGTGAGTTAATGACCGGCCCATTATTGTTTTATCATAAAACAATCACATATGTATTGTTCCAAATATTTCTGTCAACGTCGACTTTTGATGAGGTTTTATGAAACTTGAAGCCAATACAGGTTTTTGTATTAAATTTAAATTATCAGAGGTGAGTGATAGCTCTTAAGCTTGCAATCAGATCCTGATAATAACAATAGCCTCTTGGTCAATCAAGTAATTGGTGAATGGTGATCGCGATGGACCGGTCCGGCTAACCATAGCACAATAAAATTAGTGTTGAATAACTTCAAGCATTGGCTTGAGTAATATTTCTTAAAAACAAATGTCAAGGCGTTACAATTACTTCTTATCGATCTGCATATCTACCATGATTAGGTCGCACGTGTAAGTCCAAAACTTAATCATACAAAAACATTTATACTTGTTATAATTTACATTGAATATGTTGAACATTTTGGACAGTTATTTCGTAAGTGTAGAATGCACGCCAACATAATTTCACGTACGATAGCGTACAGTAAAATGTTCTCGAGCCACGCTTGCTCCCCATATCGCTTGATTACAGCGCCAGCGTAAGCATGTGCGTGTCACGTTGAGCGTCCCGTGCGCGCTCACAACATGGCCGCCGCGCTGCGCAGACGCTGTTTCCGGGAAACACTCCGCGCCAACCGACGCGCCCGCCATCTTGTTTAGTAAAGCGGTAATTTATGGACGACAGCCAAGCTTTGGAGGAATGCGTTTTGGTGTACTGAATGAGGTACTTAACTTATTTGGTTAAGTTACTTACTTCAATTTATTCAGATATTTTATGAGTTTACCGACTTACATCTATTCAGTTAAATAATTTGTTTATTCATTAAATCTGTTGACCAATGCCTGTAGTAATAAACTTAATGAGCTGTTATATTAATGGATTCAAGCATAGTAAATAGAGAAAGTAGTATTCAATATGTATTGGGTGATGCAACTGTGTTATTACGTGTTGGATGACACCCAAGACACTGTACGGTAATATTAGCATGTGCATAATCGTATATAGACAATAAGGAACATTTCAACAAAAGAGGTTACATAGGTGTTCATTAACGAAACTAGCTTTCGGCTTATAGAACACGAAACATGTGTTAATAAATAAATAAATGGTTACTTGACTCAAAAACTAGAAGAACGATTGACCGAGTAATGCTTTGTTTAAGGTTCTTTGGTTTAATGGTCACGATTCTGAGAATTATATACGCCTACGGTCATACATAACCCTACATGAGGGATGCGAAGTGGTAGGCAAACATAACGATCTACTAATTAATAAAAAACAAAGAAATATAACAACAAAGAATGATTATCATTACAATTTTATAAAATCCAACTTAAACAGTATTAAGGTTAATAAAATAACCTCTTGGTTGCTGTACCGTTTTGCATATTCTGAAATAAAAGTAATTGAATTATGAATAATTGAACGAGGAGTTCGCCAGCGGTGCTTTATTATAAATTGAATAAAGTCGGGACGAATTGAATAGCCAGCAAACTGTATTCAATGTAACTGTGATGAATACACGGACATTGCTATTGAAGGCTATTCTATAAGTAATGATTCACTGCAGCCCGCGATTGTATAGTATTCTGAATATTTGTATAAATGTATACTAATTATTTTAGGATGCATTTTTAAAGAAGAACATTAATTACTTACTCCAAGTTATTACTTAAAAATTATTATGTCGTTTGGTCTACGAATCATATTTACTTTAGCTAAACTTAAATACCAACGGCAAGTACCAATGTGACTTTTTCCGAGTTATATGTACTTTCTAAGATTATTTAGTCACTATTGATAAAAGATGAAAAAAAACATCGTGAGGAAACCTGGTCTTATAATTTCTAAGTAATGTTTGTAATAATCGTAAACCCGCAATGAGCAAGCGCGGTGATTGATGCTTGAGCATAAGGTTTGAACCTTATCTGGGTAAGACCAGGCTTTGCTTAGCAATGGACACTGTCTTACAGCCTGTTGATGATCAAATAGACACCAAAAAATAGTAAATTGTATAAAGATCGTAGCTGCCTGCAAGTAGCGTATCTCCAAAGCGATGTTATTCAGAGAGGACCGTCTCTGACAGTTGCTGAAAGTAGCCACTGCAGTGGTTCTAATAAGATAAGAGTCCTGCACACCCTAATCTTTCTCTTAACTTTTCGTGTGTCTAAACGTGGATCCCCGCGAGACACAATGTATTTTCTATTATGTCCCATATCGGTGCATTCAAACGGTTAAAA